GCACTCCAATCTGGGTGACAGAGAGAGACCCTGTCTCAAAAGGAGAGAGAGAGAGAGAGAGAACACCTCCAGAGCCAGACATAACGTATGAGGCGCTCTCTCTCACATAACTGTGTCTTGCATAGATAAGTCATAAAATATTTATTTTTAAAAATGCATACTATTGTACTTCACCTTGATCTAATCTTTTTTCTCATCAACTAGATAAGAAGTTGGCAAACTTCTGTGAAGGGTCAAATATTTTAGGCCTTGTACACCATATACTACTGTCTCTGCTGCATATTCTTCTGCTTCTTTGTGTTTTCTAACAATCCCTTTAAAATATAAAGCTACTCTTAGGGCAGGGCCCGGCGGCTAACTCCTATAATCCCAGCACTTTGGGATGGGTGGATCGCTTGAGGTCAGGAGTTCAAGATCAGCCTAGGCAACTTGGTGAAACCCTGTCTCTACTAAAAATACAAAAATTAGCTGGGCATGGTGGTGCATGCCTGTAGTCCCAGCTACTTGGGAGGCTGAGGCAGGAGAATCGCTTGAACTCAGGTGGTGGAGGCTGCAGTGAGCCAAGATCACGCTACTGCTCTCCAGCCTGGGCAACAGAGTGAGATGCTGTCTCAATAATAATAATAAAAAAGCTATCCTTAGCTCAAGGGCCCTATAAAAACAGGCAGACATGGGATTTGGCCCACAGGCTGTAGTTTTCCAGCTTCAGTGCTATGTTACCGTAAGTATCTTAAGGTCAACTGAGTTATGTACTTGTATCCCCTAATATCTAGCATAGTAATAAGCATGCAGTAGGTTCTTAGTAAACTTAGAACTCAGTTAAGTTGGAGGTAGAACCAAACAAGAGAAAAAAATGGGCAGATTTGGTCTAACAGGAATTTTATCAGGGAGACAAGACCTACAGCCCAGTCTGAATGACTCAAAGGGTCATTTACCAGATTTATAGGTAATGGAAAAAGACAGCTTGTCATACAGTCACAAATCTCAATACTCAATTGTCTCCCCTTCGAGCAGCAACTCCGCTCCTGTAGACGGCTGCCTCCTCGTGTGTCTACTTAGAGTGCAGCTGACTAGGACCTGCGAAAAAAGCACATAGCTTTTCCCTAGAGGATTTTTGTTGTTGTTGTTATTGTTCTGTTACTGCACCTTGCTATCTGGTTCTCTTGCCATGCTGCATTCTGAAAAGCTACTAGTGGGCCGGGCGCAGTGGCTCACGCCTGTAATCCCAGCACTTTGGGAGCCCGAGGTGGGCAGATCACCTGAGGTCAGGAGTTCGAGACCAGTCCTGGAGAAACCCCAGCTCTTCTAAAAGTACAAAATTAGCCAGGAACGGTGGTGCATGCCTGTAATCCCAGCTATTTGGGAGGCTGAGGCAGAAGAATCGCTTGAACCTGGGATGCAGAGGTTGCAGTGAGCTGAAATCATGCCATTGCACCACTCCCGCCTGGGCAACAAGAGCAAAACTCCGTCTTAAAAAAAGAAAAAGCTACTAGCTTAAAGGTAACATGTACCTCCAGAGGTAAGCATAATTTGGCAAATATGGATTACCTATAAACTGCTATGAATAATTCTTAGATGATGGCCAGGAAACTTTCCTAAAAATAGTTTCTGGATGGGAGCAAGTTTCTGATCCTGCTATAGTTCCAGGATTTGAGACCTGATGAAAATGAATGATGGAAGGAAGGAATAAAGGAAGGAAATGCTTCATTGCTACAGTCATGGCCACAGCCCCCACTCCTGAACTGCCAGAATGCCAGGTTGTTGTAATGCCTCCTGAGAGATCCCAGAATCTGTACAATGCTTTCCCTTAAGGCAATCTTGCTTTTGCAAACTCTGGCACAGTCTCAGGTCAGAGCTATCTGTCTCAAGAAGAGTGCCTCTTTCTTCAAACATCCAAAATGTGCGTTAATTACTGCCAGGAGCTGTCCTCTCAATAGTAACCTTCCTGGGCCCAGGGAGATAGGGAGGAGGGGGAGAACAGAGATGCTATTTCATGTCCTGCTAGGTCTTCAACCTCCATGAAGTAGTAGAGGCAGCCACAGGGGAATGGCTCTATTTCCAGGCATTTCCTTCCTCCTTTTCACCCCTTGAGATCTCAGAATAATTCACTGCAATGTTCTCTGTTAAGTCTCTGCCACCTCATATTCCCCTCCCCATTTTCATGGAAAGGATAAAAAGGAACAAGTGGTCCCTTGGGCATTATAACCAAGCCAGCAGATGCTTCTAAAGGAAGGTAAGTGTCAGATGCTTAACTGTGTGACTAAGTAAAACACATTATCTAACCAAGCTTCACTTTGAGATAGCAAGTCCTATATTTTTGATAAGAAAAAAGGAAATGGGTAAAAATAATTTATTTAAAGACAGGCTATGAGTTAGTGATGGAGCAGGAAACAGCATCAAAGTCCTTTGATTCACAGGCAAGGTCTTATCTGCCAGAAGAGCCAAGTTGTTTCATTGGAAAAAGTAAATGAAACTACTCCCAAGGTCCCTGGTAGCTGTTCTAATGAATGCCGAGGGGTTCTATGTTTCTGAAGAAAGTAAATTCAAAATGAAATGAAAATACGACTTTGGGATTTAATTTTGCATGTCTGATTTGGAAAAGCTAAGGCAGAAAGGCGGAGAAGGAGCTGTAAGAAGTACTGAACACGTAGTACCAAGGAGAAAATACTCTGTGGGGCATAGACCTTCAAAAGCAACAGCAATAGCTACAATACTGAATGTACTGACAAGGGAGTTGGCAGAAGCTGGGAGGTGAATGTTCTTTTATCCCTGACCATCACTGCAAGTGACAATTTTTTCTTGCTAGCAACCACCAGAATAGTCATCTTTGACTTGCATTTGGAAAACACAGGTTATAATTGAGCAATGCCATAAATATATTTTCCCCCTTATTCTGATATGATCTGACATCAACAGAAAGTAGAACCATGGCTAGGAGACCAAAGATTCAGGAAAAACAGACTTGGGCTGTTACGCCACTTTGAGATGAAGGAACTGGTTGAAGCACTCATCTAAATTAGTGTTGGCAATCGTCCTGCTATGATGGAGTTGTCCATGGCCACTCAGGAGGCATGAGACCATCACCACGATCATTTGAGATAAGGCCAGGTCCCTTTTGAGCTGGGCTAGGGGAATCACACCAGACAACTTTCCCAAGTCACAAGAGATATTAATAAATTATGGAAACAATCAAGATCTGGCATTGGGTCATCAGGTTAGAGAAAGACTCACTGGGACCAGGGTAGTAAGGTAAAGTGAATACAGCAAATAGGAAGTGAGATTTCACAAAGGAATTAAGCCTCAGAATGCCAAACCAAAGCAAGGACATATACAGGTATTGATCGACTTACCACCTATACAACATACGACCATTCGACTTTACGACCACAATTGCTAGCCATGACTGCTCCGCATCTGGCAGCACAAACGTTGCCCAGCTGGGCGTATGACAGTGCGGACCAGCTTCTGGCAGCACTACCATTTCTGCATACACCATTTCAACTGTACATATAGCCTACTCAACTTATGACCAAATCGTGTTTCGACCGGTCCGCGGTCCCGACCGTGGTCGTAAGTCGAGCACCAGCTGTAATGTCAGAATCAAAAGTGGTGGCAGCAGTATCAGTGGTAGGCTCAGATCAGCAGGGCCATCGAAGACAATGAGCAAAGAGGAGGTTGCCAGGAGCCCTTGACTATGAGGCTTCCTCCTCTACCTGGCCCCACGCTGTCGGTTATGGTGGAGACAAGGTGCATGACACCTTGAAAAGTGGTGATTGTTGGGCAACACCTAAAGGCAGAGAAGCCCATCTCCTTACAACTGTAGCCTATGCTCAATGATCTCTATATGAATTATACCATGATAAAGTTTTACTTAGAGGTTTTCTTCTTTCTGCCACTATAGATGTTTTTTGGTTTCTGCCCTTACTATCTGTTGGTGTGAAATCAGGCAGAAAAATGAACTTAAGAACTATTTTAACTGAAGCAAATCACAATGAAGAAGGTAAATCTGCTGTGGAAGAAAAATCCCTTAAAGTCACTATCTTTATACTGTCTGATGCCTTGGTTAAATACAACCAAAGTTATTCCTCCTGCAATAGTTTATTAAGGCATAGGGTAAGTTCTAAAAGCAGTGGGTTTGAGTGAAGTCAATTCAAACCCACTGCTTTTCTCTAACTCAAGCTGGGAAAGATAGCTCCTTTGCCTTGGCCTGAAGACTGAACGTTGTACATACCAAATTACTACAGAGTGAAGGTCTGAGTTGACTTACAACTTGAACCTGACTCCATGGGTCACTGGTTCTTACATAATCAGCAAATAAAAATACTCTATCTATCAAGAGAAAGCTGGGTCAATGTTCATGGACTGACTGAATAATATGTGACAACGACCATTAAATATGCCTACTGTGCAAAAGAACGTCAAGAAATGACGTTGCGGATGCATTAAAACGTTGCCCCGTCTTTAAGTTATGATTACATTTTATCAAAGTTTTAGACTTTTCATTTCATAGGGATGATAACCAAATGATCATAGCAGGTATGTCTCCAATAATCCTAAAAGTCTTGAGGCCTGATACTGAAAAGATAATCTGAAACAGAAATCTGTTTAGGGTAGGGTTTCTCTAGATTGGCAATACTGACATTTTGGGTTCAATAATTTTGTGTGTGTGTGTGAGGGGCTGTCCCATGCATTGTAGGATGTTTAGCTGCATCACTGACCTCTACCCATTAGATGCCAGTAGCAAACCCCCACCCCCTCAGTTGTAACAATTAAAAATGTTTCCAGATTTTGCCAAACATCCTCTGAGGTGCGTAATCGCTCCAGTGGTTGAGAACCACTGGTCTAGAGATATTTTCTCTTTAAGATCACACAATAAATATACATACACCACAGTAAAAGGAACCAAGACAGGTTACAAAAGGCTCTTGTACTGATTATTACATGTGGCTTAGGACATTTAAAAATGTATGCTGACATGCTGGCAGCAAAAGTATACTCACTGTGTACAAGAAAACAAAAATCTTTCCACATCAGCAGCAGAGTGAGTTTTGTAAAGCCTTCTGCATCATATTCCACGACACCTCTAAGTAATAAAAACATACACACACAAACAAAAAAAGAACCCTCATAAAAATAAGGTATAAAAGTGATGAAACCAAGTAATGAATATATTCAAGAAGTCAGGGTTATTGACTCTGAGATGGATTTAAGGCAAATGAGGATTAATGCGGGAAGGGACTGGGGTTTGAAATGGCAGTATCTAGGTTTAGGTCACAGCTTTGCCACTGACTGTCTACTACGACCTCAGGCAAATCACTTAACCTTTGCAGCCTCAGTTTCCTTACCTGCAAAACAAGTATGAACATATTTGCAAAATTCATTACAGGATTGTGAAAAACTAGTAAGATGAATCATAAAATACTATACAAATGTTAGTTATTACATTAATTATGAGTAAAAGGACATATTAATAAATCAAGTCAGCAATGACACTATAATGCCAAATGTCAGCATACTACCTGTACAGTGATTACGTCTGACTTTCACTGGGCACTAGACAGCAATACGTGATGATACTATTACTAAATCTAGTATTATATATTACTTTGCTTCCAAAGTATGTGGAATCCTTTCCCTTGTGTCCTCCCCGTCCCCCCTCCTCCCCACTGGGCTCAAGGCAAAGTAGCAACATTAGACGGGTAGATGCTGGGATCAGGAGGGGGGATGCACACGTCCTGTGTCAAAAGAGAACATCCCCTGACCACCAAAGGTACCAGGTGGAATTCTGTAGCTTCACCTCATCCATTTCCCTTAAGAGCTGGGAACCTGGGGGATGTTGCCATACTGTGACAATACTAACCACACTAAGGACAGATAAAATTTTCTTTCTCATCCATACAAGGAGGACTCTGCTGTCCTTAGAGATGCCTTATCCCTGACCAGACCAGGCCAATCAGGCCACTGATATTGATGCCAGCCCAGTTTAAGTGCAAAGGAACAGTGACACCCTTGTAAAGGTAAAAGAACTAAGATGCTGAAGGCTAAGTGATCTGCTACAAAATGGTTGGTATATCATTCAGATCCTAACTCAACAATTCTAGTCATTAGTTGATATTTCTCTCTATGAATTTATTGATTTATTTAATTTAATTTAATATATATATATATTTTTTGAGACACAGTCTCACTCTGCTGCCCAGGCTGGAGTGCAGTGGCATGATCTTGGCTTACTGCAACCTCTGCCTCCCAGGTTCAGGCAATTCTCCTGCTTTAGCCTCCTGAGTAGCTCGGATTATAGGCACCTGTCACCATGCCCAGCCAATTTCTGTATTTTTTAGTAGAGACAGGGTTTCGCCATATTGGCCAGGCTGGTCTTGAACTCCTAACCTCAGGCAATCCACCTGCCTCGGCCTCCCAAAGTGCTGGGATTACAGGTGTGAGCCACCGTGCCTGGCCTCTCTATGAATTTATAATTAGCCCAATAATGTTATAGTGCTGACAGTGAAACACTTTAGGTCCTGCACCCCATAGGCAAAGATAAGTATGTAATCTTTTTAAGTATATTACTATACTACGTGCATAATAAAACATACACAAAAAAGAGTGCACTAAAAAACAATGAGATTTGAAAGCAAATGTAAATGTAATTTTCATAGTTTTCTTGTATTCCAATAGAGTGAACTGTGTAACTCCTGGGGTGTGTGTACTCCATTTTGGAGGTCACTGTGCTGGTTTCTTCATGTTCAATTATATATACCAAAGATCTTACTCAGAAATAAGACCAGTGGTATTACTTACTAACCACTGTTGTATCAAATGTACTTCCTCAAAATGTTCACAAATAAAGCTGAGAAAAATCTTAAGTATTAAAGACTCGTGTGAGAAACAGTCATAGTATTTGGGTATTGACACTTCTATTTTGGACAAATGAAAAATTCCTTTATGGGAATGAAAAAAATGTCTTAAAATTGGTTCGAGGAGTCAGAAATTTTCTTATAATTGTGCCACCGTTTGAAAATTATATCCCAGAGGGTGACAAATCCTTTTTTTTTGGTTTCATCTTCTCTTCTCTATTCCTAATTTCCTTTTTTCCTAATTTCTTTATTTACTTATTTAAAATTTTAATTTTATATTACTAGATATATTTGTATATTTATAAGCCTTCTGTGGAATAAGGTGGGCTATCATCAGGCTGTTTAAACCCTTAGTGCCTAGTTACCCACAATGGGTAGAATGTTCCACCTTCTAACGAGCATGAGGAAAATACATTCCCTCTTCCACTGAGCCAAGCCCAAGGAGAAGCTTGATCAGGCCTCTGATTTATTTAAGGAAACAGGGCTGCAGGGCAGCACAGCCATGGGCAGCCAGAAGGAAAGGGCAAAGGCACAGGGATGGTGGAGCCGGCAGAGCTCACGGTGTCACAGGCTTCCCTCTCCCATCTTGGTGCTTGCTTTCAGCTCCTAACCTCAAGTATGAGTCACTCCTTTTATATTAAATGCTGGATTTCCTCCCCAAATCTGTGTGGCACTGCTGGCAAATGGAGTCCTGTCAGGAAACCTGAGTCCTGGGGAAATGGGATTCCTGCCCTGGCTCCACTTCTTCTAGGGGTGTGACTTCCATTGGGCTACTGAACTTACTGCAATTTCTGAAGAATGACACATTCTTCAACAGAATATGTCAGTGATGCCCACCTGGTTCACCCCATGGCCACTGTGAGGGCATGGAGGTGAGGGTGCTGTGTAAATTGTAGGGAGTTCTACAAGTGACTGTTACCACCATTACTACTGTTGTGTTCAGGGCTGTCCTCGCTGCTGCTCTAGGGAAGGCATTTGATTCTACCATTTGCCAAAGAATACAAAAAAGAAGGGGATCCTGGGAGCATTGGTAAAAACGGCATACCAAAAAGGATCAAAGTGGCATTAAAAAGATATCATGTGTAAGAACTAAGTGCTATTTTCTTAATGAAGCCCCCGTGTTGAGGTTATCAGCAAGTGAGGGCATCACTGGTGTATCATTTAAACAGGGCAGAACTTACGTGCCAAAGTGACTGAGGAAAGCAGCAATATACTCTCTTCTTTTGTGATATCCTTGAATCACGTACTGCACCTGGAATAGAAACCCAAAGCTGAGAAGCGGAGTGGGAAGCTTTTAAAGGCTTTATTATAAAAAATTTCAAAGATTCAGAGAAGCAGAAAGAATAGTAAAGTGAACACCCGTATCCCCACTACTTACATTCAACAACTATGACTATTGTGCCTACTTGCTTCCTCCAGCCATCCATCTACCTATCAACTTATCAATCAACATTTCAGAGGAAATGAGAGACATCATGACAGTTCACCCCTAAATATTTCAGTATATATCTCTAAAAAATAAGACTTTCTTCTACATAACCACAATACTATTATTATACTCAAAAAACTTAGCAATCAGTCTCTGAATTAATCTAGTACCCTGTCCATTTTCAGAATTTCCTAATTGTCCCCAAAATGTTTTAATTTTTATTGTTTACTTTGAAAACAATTTCTTGAGATGGAGTCTTGCTCTTGTTGCCCAGGCTGGAGTGCAATGGCGCGATCTTGGCTCACCGCAACCTCCACCTCCTGGGTTCAAGCAATTCTCCTGCCTCGGCCTCCCAAGTAGCTGGGATTATAGAAGCCTGCCACCATGCCCTGCTAATTTTTCTACTTTTACTACAGACACCATTTCCCCATGCTGGGCAGGCTGGTCTCAAACTCCTGACTTCAGGTGATCAGCCTGCCTTGGCCTCTCAAAGTGCTGGGATTACAGGTGCGAGCCACTGTGCCTGGCCCAAAATGTTTTTTAAAAAGGAGTGTACAATTAAGGATCAGCCATTTGTTTTTAATGCCTTTTAAGTTTCTAAATCTAGAACAAATAGTACCTCCTTGAGTGTGAGTATGCGTGTGCCTGCATGCACATAATATGACACTGACTTTTCAAGTAAATTGGGCTATGTCCAGGTGCAGAGGCCGACGCCTGCGGTGCTTTGGGAGTCTGCAGTACTTTGGGAGAATTACTTCAGGCCAGGAATTCAAGACCAGTCTCAGCAACGCAGCCAGGCCTCATCTCTGCAGAACACGAAAGAAGTCAGCTGGGTGTGGTGATATGCACCTATAGCCCCAGCTACTTGGGAGGCTGAGGCAGGAGGAACACTTGAGCCCGGGAGTTCAAGGCTGCACTGAGCTTAGATGGCACCACTGCACTCCAGCCTGGGTGACCTCATCTCTTTAAAAGAGCAAGACCTATCTCTTAAAAAAAAAGAAAAAAAGAAAAGAAATTGGACTAGTAGTCTTATAGAAGATCTCAACTCTGTTTTCTTCCTTTTTCTTTTACTCTCTGTATTTCCTATAAATTAGAAATTAGAGCTCAAGGGTGATTAGTTCCAGGTTGAACATTTTTGGCAAGAAAACTTCCTAGACAATACTGGGCTTGATCACTTGGCTAAGGTGATGACAGCCAGACCACTCCATTGAAAGGGGATGCTCCCTCTGTCACAGTGAATTGTCTATGGACATACCTCCTGAAGTATGGAAAGACCTAGTTTCCCAACCTTTCACCTAATGGTTTTTGTATTTATTGGAGATCCTTGTCTGAATCAATGATTTCATTATGGATTGCAAAATAATGATTTTTGAATCCCATCATTCCTTTTGCCTACATCAGCTGACAATCTCTGTCGAGAGCTTTCTCTCATCAAATGGGGTTCTTTGGTTACCTTGAGCTCCTATTAAAAAAAAAAACAGAATAATGTTTCTTTCTTTTTAGAATTCTAATATTCAGAATAAGGAGTATTACAATAGGAGATTTTATTTTGCTTTGCCGTTTTATATGCCTCATTATCACCGAATGACAGTTTCTATTAAAAAAAAAAATTGCGAACTCATTAAGCTAGGCATCTGAAAGTTAGTCATTTACCCACTGGCTTCTAACACGAAAACACATTCCTTATAATGTTTTCATGATGGCTAGAAGAAACAGTGGGAAGGAGAGACCCCCAAAATTGTTTATATTGGCTATAGCCACGCTGAGTTTTCATAGCTAACAAAAGCTCAAGATAAAGTGCTTGAAATAACCTTGACACAATTGGTACTGATAGCCATGTTGTACCCTTTAAATGTAAAACAATTCTATTTATATAATAGGGGTTTATGTCAATTTATAAAAACAGTGCTTACTTTGCAGGCTTAATGCAGGATCAGAAGTGTTATTTTGGGAAAAGAAAAACAGATGATAAGTTTGCTTAAGTGGCTTTGTTTAAAAAGGGGGATGAAAACAGTTCTGTATACTTGATTTTAAAAACAGAAAACCATTTTAACAGAAACCCACAACAAAACTGGCTATAAAGATAGATTCCAATATAATTATGGAAATTCATTTGAAGAGATTGTTTCTAAAAGCAGCCCATACTGTCCTCATTTGTGGCAAACAGAAGAACACCATTTTCAAAAGACAAGTAAAATTAATGAAAGGAAACCAGATAAGAAAAATTGACTGATTCTGACATTTCTGGGAAAATGGTATTATAATTTTTTTGAGGAAAATGTATGACTAGAAATTAATATCCATTGGAGAGCTTTAAAAAGGCTTTTCTTCTCTGTTTTGGAAGGCCAAATTTGCATTTTTCTCCATAATTCTGCAACACAGATTTGAAGGCAGTGCAAAGCCCCAGAATGTAAATAAGAATTCTGTCCTCTGATCAGTTCTGCAGTGGGGCAGAGGCTGGGGGAATTTGGTCTGATGAGAAGCAACCCCTGCCTGAGTGTTAAAGCCTGGAGTCTGTGCCAGGCCCACAAACTGCAGAGTTGCCAGATTTTAGTTTCTCTGACATTTGAAAAATAATACTGAAGCTTTTGAAATATTATTGTACTTTTAAACTATTTTCTATATAGAAATGAGCTATCTTTTGAGTGAAAGAGACAAAAGATCTATTTTCCAAGCCAATGTGAACAAGTCAACAGGAGCAAAGAAAATTGCACTCTGGCACTTAAACAAACTGAGTCACAGTCCACGTGGGAGAAGAAAGAGGGTCAGTGTTGCTTGTGCATCAGTATCGCTAGTTTTCAGCTAAATACACAGGCTGGACATTAACAAGTATATTCTTACACTTTTTGGAAATGTCTGACAATAACCGTTAGAGTAGGCTCAGCTACTTGCTAATGTAATGGCTCCTTTATGTAGCTAAGAGAAGCCTTAGGTCATCTGACTGAGTGCAAGACCAGCTGACTAGCTGGGCATGGTGGCTCATGCCTGTAATCCCAGCACTTTGGGAGGCTGAGGCCGGTGGATCACCTGAGGTTAGGAGTTCGAGAGCAGTCTGGCCAACATGGTGAAACTTCGTCTCTACAAAAATACAAAACATTAGCCAGGTGTGGTAGTGGAAGCCTGTAATCCCATCTACTCAGGAGGCTGAGGCAGGAGCATGGCTCGAACCTGGGAGGTGGAGGTTGCAGTGACCCGAGATCGCGCCACTGCACTCCCACTTGGGAGACAGAGTGAGGCTCTGTCTCAAACAAACAAAATACCAGCTGACTTGGGAATCTTGCCCCTAGGCGCAGGGCTCTAGTGAACTGCTCCCAGATATGACAAGAAGAATCAAAGTCTGACTATTAAAAAGTGAGGTACAGAAACATAGAGAGAGATGAAGGCAGTTTTAAACAATTACTCTGGTATCAACTAGTGGCAAACACATGCACACACACATGCATGTACTAGATAATTGGGAAGCAATGGGGTTCCAAAGTTGTAAAGTTTTAAAGTTTAAGAAGATGCAAGATCTGACAAAAACTTAGGGTAAAGGAAATTCAAGAAATAGGGGACTTAAATCTCAGGTATAAAGTTAAGAGATTAAGATAAGACTGGAACAGGAGGTCAGATTCCCTAGAAAAGGAAGAAGGAGGACAAAGAAATAGGGAGAGAAACGGATGAACTGTAATTGATAGTAGGAAGGGCAGTTGTCAGATGGAGGCTGAATCTGAGCAGACGGTCTAAGAAGGATGGAGCATGCACAATGATTTTGGGTACATGGTGAACTGCAGGAAGGAATCTCACAAGAGGGACGAGTCGGAGACTTCCTTTTACCTTGTTGGTGAGCAGGTGGCATACTTGAGGAACGTAATCAATGAGACATCCTCCTCCTGGAAAGGCTGGGATATGAAGAGCTGAGGAGCCTCCAAGTGCACTGAAAGGACAAGAGTACAATGGACACTTCTCTTAGGGCTCAAGCAACCTTGGAAATGATACCCCCAAGCAGACTTGGCTTTTCTCAACAGAATCTGGCCACCAACTGCCCAGGTTAATGATGATGGGTATATGGGCTTCACTTTATGATTACATCTCTGTATTTTAATTCATTTTATTAAATCAGCATGTTTGCATTATACATCACTGATATCACACAACAGCACAAATTAGAAAATTTTGATTGGCATGGGCAAATGTCTTACCAACATTAATGGGCTGTAGGCATTATTGAAACATACATTTTTATACTCTTCATTATGCCCAATTCATTGCTGGGCACAGATAAGTTATTCATTAAACACTGTAACTGAACTAAAATGAATTGATGCAACACTGTAGCAGAGTACTAAAGAGACTGGTTCTACAGCTTATTGGCCATTACCTTGTATTCCAAAAGGCATACAAGAAGGTGCAGTCTAAACAAGAAGGTACAGTCAATAATCATTGATCCGAGCACTAAGATACAATGTTGATTCAGAAACAGTTTCCAAAACTTTCAGAAATTCCTTTTCTCAGGCTGGGCATGGTGGTTCATACCTGTAACGCCAGCACTTTAGGAGGCTGAAGCAGAAGGATCACTTGAGGTCAGGAGTTTGAGACCAGCCTATCCAACATGATGAAACCTCATCTCTACTAAAAATACAAAAATTAGCTGGGCGTGTGGTGATGGGCACCTATAATCCCAGCTACTCAGGAGGCTGAGGCAGGAGAATCGCTTGAACCCAGGAGGCAGAAGTTGCAGTGAGCCAAGATCACGCCGCTGCACTCAAGCCTGGGTGATACAGCGGGACTCAGTCTTAAAAAAAAAATTCTTTTTTTCAGTTTAAATTAGCCAGCATACAATTATTTAAAAAAATTGTTCAGAACTTTAAAGCATACATTTCATTTACTGCCCTTAACCTTTACTTCATCTTCTTTCCTGCACTCACTTTCCTTTTGCTTTAGTTTTTCTTTTCTTAATTTTATTTTAATGCATATATTTCTATAAGCCCTAAACTCTCTCTGTAATATGATGGGATATTTTTAAAAATCCCTAAAATCCCTTAATGTTGTGATTACTTCTTACTGGTGTAATTATTTATTTATAATGTTGGATTATTGTCCAAGACTCCACACTTACAAGGTTTTAAGTGGAAGAAAAAGGCGTGACAATAACTGCCTAGAAAATCATTTCTAAAGAGTTCTGGGTATCTGGGTGCAGTGGCTCACGACTATAATCCCAGTACTTTGGGAGGCTGAAGTGGGCGAATCACTTGAGTCTAGGAGTTCAAGACCAGCCTAGGCAATATGGGAAGACTTTGTCTCTACAAGACATTTAAAAAATTAGCCAGGCAGGGTGTTGCACACCTGTAGCCCTAGCTACTTGGCAAACTGAGGTGGGAGGATCATTTGAGCCTGTAGGCAGAGGTTGCAGTGAGCTGAGATTGTGCCTGCGCCCTGGGCTGGGCGACAGAGTGAGACCCTGTCTCAAAACAAACAAACAAACAAACAAACAAACAGAGTTTGGGGCAGTCTGACTCAGTCTAGGGTTTGTGATACAAGGATTATGTGTGTGAATGTGCATATATATGTATAAAACACTACTAAAAGGACTCCAAATCCATCCTGTCTTCCTGTTGACCACAGATTTCTGAAATTAATTTTCCTGGTAAAAAAAAATTTTGTGTTTGCTCATGGAAATAAAAAATCTAAATGAACAAAATCTCGAGTGACACAAGGAAGTCAAGGTGGAGTGGAAATATTGACTTTTTCTACTCAGATGTTACCTAGAAGCACAACTCTGACAACTGAGAAAATTATAAGACAGTGTTTGACTAAGTATGACATTAATGAATCATCTGCATTCCGCAACTGCACAGAATCAGCAAGACCATCATTTCCTTTTGCTACTCTTGGAGTAGGCCTTGCACTAGATTTAGCTTAAATTCTGAAGATGGCTAGGAAAATTCCTGTGACTTCCTATGAACAAGAGAAAGGCTTTCTGTCTTCTGTTTTTGTATGTACGAATTACACAGAAGGCACATATCTAACCAGAAGCTCTAATGATTTCATTAAGATAGAAAAATGATGAAGGAAAAAGAATCTATAGTACAAGAAAAACAAATACAATATTTATGTCCTGTAGCTACTGGTGGAATATCTGTACAACGTAGACAATGGCAAGATCTAAACTATTCATAGCTCACTTAGAGGAACAATCCTTGGCATAATAAAATTCCAAAAAAGAAAACAATTTTGATGATTCCCTGAAGCTGACAGTAATAGGCTTTGACTTATATAAAATATTACAAGAGAAGTCTTTAATCAGTCATTAAATTATATACAAGGAAGGAAAACAGTCTGAGTAATCCTCTAAACTCTCTCCCTCTCTCTGCTTGGATTGTGTGATTCTGAAATACAGCCGTTAGACAAAAGTTACCTATAATGTTGGAGAGAAGCAGAGGTGTGAAAAGATCCAAAAAACTAGCTGTTCACTGCCAGGCCCACGTTTCCACACCCTGCTTCTGTCACTACCAAGAACTAACACGTGTTGCTAGGTACTTTGTCACATTATCTAATTTAATGTTTTCCATAGTTCAAAGAGGTAAGAAGAATCATTGTAATTTTACATGTGAAAAAAATTGAGGCTCAGAGAACAGAAAATACACCTAGGTTCACACAACTGGACAGAGGTAAAACCAAGATCTGAACACAGGTTTGCCATGAGTTCAGGCTGTTTCTGCTGAAATAGGTGACTTCCCTAAAAAGAGGGGGATTTTAATCACAAAAGACTACAGGGATGGGAAGAAACAGTGGGTCTGGTTATCAGTGAGCCAGGCCAGCATGCCAGCATGATGAAGGCTTCAGACCGTCACCTAAGTAGACACTTGTGATGTACGGCTCATCTCCCTTTACAGTTTACCACACAGCAGCAAGGCAGGCACTCCTCTTAATTTTGTTCATATCTCAGTACTCTCCCACCCCAACCATCAAACAATCAGATTCATTTGATCTCAAATTTGGACCAGCCACTCTGGCAGGTCTAATTCTGAATGACTTAGTTGGCTGCCCAGGGCAAGCCTCAATAGGTGTAAAGCACTTCAGGTACTACGAAAGATAGTTTTAACTGAGAGTTTATTTTTTAAAGGATGTCATTTCACCCTGTATTTAACTCAGTAGTTTCTTAGCTTGTAAGGTACAAAATCTACATCCAGTGTCACACACTGATAAGTGCTGCTGATTCATGTATAAATATCCGCCTCATCGGTAAATATTTAACAGGCCTGCTATAGCCTGAATACTGCCCTGATCATGCTGAATAAACGAAGTCAAGTGCCATGAAATACAAGAGTCATTATGTTTTTACAGGGTGCCAGATGGTGGTAAGGCCTTGTGATCTCTAATTCTTTAATATTCATGAATCCAAAAATATTGGACTGAGGATGTATAACAGGACATTCACCCTGTGCAGAGATTCCAGGGCTCACTCAAGACATTCCCAGGACTGCGGGGCTGGCTGAAGAGAAGGCAGGGCCTGACTAACCCACTAAGTGGCTGGGGAAGCATTATGAGGAGATGAAAGGGACCACGCAGTGTTGATACTTCTGAGCTGCAGAGCGGTGCGGTGAAGAAGCACAGGGAGAGGTAAACTGGTGTAGCAGGGGCTCCGGCTCAACTTGGGAGGAGAAAAGGGTGAAAACGGCTGTTCTGATGAGAAGGCACTTTCTACCCCTTCATGGAATAAAAGAAAACATGAAATAGAACTGAAGCTGAATCTGTGGATATAAATTGGAAGGACGAGGCCAGAGTTTTAAAAACCTTTCTCATGGTGGAGGTAATTAAATAGAGCAAAATGAAACCAGAAAAGCATTTCCACGTCAGTCTTATTGGCTCTAAAACTCAAATGTAAGAACTATCTATACTGAATGTATTAATTAATCCAAGTCTTTTCCATGCAAATGAAACTAATAGAGCCCTTTGCGATCTTTGCTCTGTCTGCAAATCATTGCGTCTCTCATACAGTTATGAGCCACATACAACATTTCAGTTAATGATGGACCCCATATATGAGAGTGGTTCATAAGATTACAATACCATATATTTACTGTACCTTTCCTATGTTTAGATATATTTAGATACACAGATACTTACCATTGTGTTATAACTGCCGATAGTATTCAATACAGTAACATGCTGTATAGGTTTGTAGCCCAGGAGCAATAAGCTCTACCAGAGAGCCCAGGCGTTTAGTAGGCTATACTATCTAGGTTTGGGTTGGTACATTCCATGATGTTTGCACAATGACAACACTGCCTAACGACACATTTCTCAGAACATGTCCTGGCCATTAAGCAATGCATGACTATACTGAAGACTTAACTTGGCTGCAGCGTGACAGCATAAAAGAATTGTTTTTATTTTGACATAGAAAAATGTGGGGAGTCAGCCTGTCGGAAAGCTTGACTTGGGACAATGGGGTTTGGTGTTGACCCATTATGAAACAGCAACTCCCCTTCCTCCCACGCGGGCTTTTACCTTACTGGTCAAATAAAATGAGCAAAACATAATTGTGACTAGAGAAAACTAGAAGGGTCAGTGATTCTCAATCACAATTCTTGCTTCTGTCAAGTTTTCTTTCTCTGGTTCTACTCAACTTTCTCATCAGTGCAGTGGGATAGCACCACTCTCAAAAAGACCTGGCCAGGTGCAGTGGCTGATGACTGCTCCAGGCACGAAGTTTGAGACCAGCCTGGGCAACATAGAGAGATCTCATCTCTAAAAAAATTAAAAATTAGCCAGGCATGATGGTATGTGCCTATAGTCCCAGCTACTCAGGAGCCTGAGGTAAGAGGATCACTTGAGGCCAGGAGTTGGAGGTTGCAATGTGCCATGATTGTACCACTGCGCTACAGCCTCGGTAACCGAGTGAGACTCTGTCTCTAAAGAAAAAAAAAAAAG